TCTGCGATATGGGTTCGTCAGAGGGTACACTCGAGATGGGCGAGTCCGACTGTGAGGCCTCTGAAGGCATATTGCTGATGTGGAATTATCCGCCAGCACAGCGGAGAGAGGTAATCACCTCCTTTCATTTCGGCATCAAGGCTGTGCTTAATAAATTCATCAGGGCTGTGCTTAATACTCTATTATCATAACTCGTAGTATGATCTGCATGACACGGGATATCTTAGCTCTGGTGCTAGAATTCTAGCCGCGGAATAGACAGCCCAATAACCGTTAGACGTTTCACAGCCTTGTGGTCTGCTGTTGGGAGGGGCAGTGCTTGGGGTCCAAAAGTGAGGCTTGGGTGGAGACCTTTGGGCTATGCTTGGTACTTACTTTAATTTATACGCCCGTGCGATGAACCTTGGGCTCTCTATTTATTGTCGCGGTATCGCGTGCGACTGATCCCACGCCAGTTGGTTTGTTTTACCCGTGTTAGCCCTAACCCCGAATTCATGCTGCCATGTCTCTACAAACTAGGCTTAATGCCCAATGGCACCTGACGAGATTGTTGCTAGCTGCAATATTTGTAACTGCATCATGAAGTTTGTCTAGTATTGATAAAAGAAAATTATGAATACAAGACTTTGCAGAATAGATTATTCCGAACATTGTAGTTACTTGCGACAGTCTGCTACTTGGATTTTCTAGTTTAATCTATCGGGTACTTAGGTGCAACCAGTCCATGTTCTTCTAACGAAATTCATGACTAATTTTGATAGTACTACGACAGGTTGCTGTAGACATTGACTAGTCCTCCGTTATTGAAGAAAACTCAGTCAGCTGGCATACATGTCTTGTTGCCTTCTTGATGGCCTTCTGGGTAGTGAAGGGTCCCGGATTCACGTCAATCCACCCACAAAGTGGTATCAGGGAATTAAAAAAAGGCTCTGACATATACACGTGGACTTACGTACTGCACACATATGGAAAACACGCAACATGGGTATGACGTCCTAGATCTCGATGAGAATGACACAAAGCCGTCAATATAAATGATACTGGGGACCTCGGATATAGTATGGAATTTCCACAGCTTACTTCACCCAGCTGTGACGCAATACTAACGAGAGGATCTGAGTGAGTCATTGACATCGTCGTCATATGGCTGAGACTTGAATAGATTCCTCCAATCCGCACTTTGTTACAGGGGTAGAGTTGACAAGCAGCTAGCCCTATCCACGTTTACCTGTACAGTAAGTAGGCAACCTGCCTCGTTATGTCTAGGTAGAGCTACAGAAAACCAATGACCCCTGAGAATTCTCTAGTCGCAACAAGTTTACAGTGGCTAGATTATGCTGCTCTACTGACAAGTAGAAATATTTTCTTCTCTTTATAATATTAATTATAGTATGCTATTATACAACTGGTAGCAGTAGTAGATGATAGTGATGACGAACTGGGGAAAGTTGACTAAGGTCATTCTTTCTAGAATATGAAAAGGCAAACTACAACTGAAGGAAAGTCGAAAGGCCACTTGAAGGAGGATAAATGATCTAAAATGGAGCTGTCGAAGTGTGGCGGTAGGAAGTACTCTGAACAAAAATACTGGAGATTAATCAACTACTCAAGTCTTAAAGCCATTGAAGTAATCTAAATAATTTGGGATAATTCAGTTGTTCAAGCAGGTAAAATAGTTGAAGCAGTTGAAGCAACTCAGGTAGTTCAGACAATTCAGATTGTTTAAGCAGTTCAAACACGCAATTTATCGTTGCTGACAAAACTAAACAAGAGAGAATATAAAAATCAAGGAGCAAATGGTGGGAGACTTGGATCACCGAATCCACTCACGGCGTCGTAATCTACTAATTCGGAGCCTACGCGATGAGCGTAGCCACCAGTCCAGCGAACCTATTGTCTTGCCATCTATCTGATCACAGTGGTCAGTGATAACCAAGGCTTCACAGTCGCGCAAGTATTTGGATATTGGACTTTCCAGTAGGTGCATAATTTCCAAAAGCTCTTGATTATCCACTGTACTTTCTCCATCTGTAGAACCTGTCTCGTTCGCCCGAAATAATTCCTGGTCGCAGTTGTCTGCAAATCTTGATAGCACTATTTCCGCTCGGTCCATAAATTCTATAAGTTCCTGATCCTCCACTGTAATTTCTCCATCTGTAGAACCTGTCTCGTTCGTCCGAAACGATGCCTGGTCGCAGTTGTCCGCATATTTTCTTGATAGCTCTCTTTCCACTTGGTCCATAAGTTCTCCAAATTCCTGATTTCCCACTGCACGTTCTCTATCTGTAGAACCTGTCCCGTTCCTAGGATCCCAACTCTGCTCGTAGAATAGCCACGGCTTCTCTTGCGGCATTAAGGCGGCCGAGACTATTCCATGAAGGAGGAGCGGCATGAGGAAAGATTCTCTGTGGCGGCGGAACGTAACTCTGGTCAATGAAGGCTGTAGTATCAGTCTACTAGGGTATATTTCGATAATCCCAATATACTGGGTTGGGGGTTGTTGGATCAACATCCGTCGCCAGCTGGCATTCTTGTGTAGGTATGCCGCTTCGTCAATGGGATCAATATCGGGGAAGGTGTATGCTATCTCGTCAAGGAAAAAATCATCAGGGAAACTGAAACCGCTTCCTGAAAAACCGTGGCCACAACTTGTCTCGTAAAAGTGGGTTACGGATGCGATCTGTGCCAGGGCGTTTGGCTGGTTTAAAAAAGAGAGCTTCCTGGAGAGCACCGGAATTTAGAATTAGGTCATGCCAGTGGTGACACACTCGTTGAACAGACGTGAGCAGAGTACAGGCATCACAGTTTAGAAGAATCTTCTCCAGAATCTCTGGGATGTAGAAGATTCCGTGTGTCTCCGTGGTGGTCATCTCGGGAGGGGTTCGTGTGGATGATAGATGAGTGAGGTATGCAGGATCTGTTTATCACCTATGCTAGTATTAGGATACTCGCTTGTTAACTGTGATCACCCTTTCGGATAGAGAGAAAAGATTCGTGCAGAATATGGAGGTTCTCTTCGACAGGGCACGCAAGTGAGAGCTCTTTTGAGGCGAGGTCACTTACTGACGACACTCTAGCCTATGTCTTGGTAATATGGCCAAGTAAATGCGCAATGAATACGTCCATCAATATTCTGCTCATATATATGTCACATCTCCATACAACTACAAAAATGTACTGGAATCAATCCCTGGAACGAGTGTGCCATTTTTCATAACTATACGTGTGTAACTATATATTGTTTCCGTCAATACTCAGTGTTGTTGGGCGTTGCACGCGAGACCTCTCTCATTATCATCGCCAGGTAGCCGATGATCTGCGTATCCTGGGCATCCCCATGCCCCCAATGAAGAGTCTGGACCGCGTACTATTCCAGAGCTAGCCCTGCCATGGTGTGTGCCCTATGTAACACAGTGCCAATTACCTCTCCATGACGATCAAGACGGTAGAACCGTAGAACTGGAATGTGTATCCGTCTGACGCTAAGCCATACGCTGCGCGTCGGTTTCTTTAATTTCGTTGTCTGCCCTCGAGCACCATGACTAGGGAACTGTTAAACTAGCAAAATAAGCAGCAGGTTACGTAAACGTACCCATATAGGCCAATAACTGTGCTTTCGCGGACTCTACATGCAAGAACTTCTTGGCTTCAACAACCAGCAAGAAACTTTCCATGGATCCCGGGTTCTTGTGCCAAAGGCAATAGTCCACGATCCGGCCGCTCCTTTTGGTGTACTAGCGTACGCAGTCTGATACGGGCCTCTAAGGTCCATTTGATTGGTTGTTCTAAGTCATCTGTGATGTGGAGCAAAGTATCAAACAACATTGAGTCTAGCCTACCGCGGGCTAATGCCTCGTTTTCTGTAGCGCCGCTGAGTGCATCGAGCTTTTTCATTGACTTTCCTGGACAATCAAAGGATGTGAGTATTATCCGATGGGTAAATATCGCCCAAGACTTACTAAGGAAGCTGATATTTATATTAGAGTAGTCTTCATCTAGTATCCATTGATACTGCTTATTCTTTCTAAGACCGAAGCACTTCTCAACTTCTTCAAGGTAATCCACCCAGGCCGGATGTCGTTCGACTGAAGCATCTTGGATATCTCACTACACCCCCTTAGGATGACCCTGGAGATATTATAGGATTACACACCTGTGATGCTCATTATGTGGCATAGCAAGGTTCACAAGTTGATGATGACAGACAGAGCTGGAGATGACAGACAGAGTTGGGGATGAGAGACAGAGTTGGGGAGGAGAAGGGGAAGGTGAAGAAGACTCATAACACAAGAAAGGCAGCAGGGGCGGTGGGACCGTTTCAGGAAGGAGCAGTGAATACATTTGCCACAGTAACAAGTTCTGTTATTACCATCAGCAAGTCAATGAATGATGTGCAGGTCATGCGGCCAGCTTCCCATTCAATTGCTTCGCTTCTTACTAGTATTCAACGTTAATTTCATACTCCCATTGCTACGCTCAGCTCATCTTTTTTATAAACCTTGGAATCCCAAATAAGGACGATCTTATGGAAGTCACGGCCCGTTGATTCTTTTTACTTCGTTGGTTCATCTCCAGGCCCTGTCTACTCTTTCTTCGCTTCCTTTTGGGTCAGGACGCATCGCGCCGATAGACAATACTTCAATACTGGGCAAGTTACTGCGTGGATTGAAAGGCAGTCGGTACACGAAGCAGGTGCAAGCTATGCATATGCCCATGGCCATGGGAGAGAGGAAAGGAACGTGGCATCGCTGCGATCTGTCGCTACGCAGAGTCGTCAAGATACTGGCAGCGATCAACGACAGAACATGGATTCGCAGATTCTTGGAAAGATGCCCAGAGAGTGAAACGGGGAGAGAGAAAGAGAGATCTGCAGGATCACCCAGGCCCAGCATATCTCAAGCTATTCAGATGCTGTTGTATAATTCATGTGGCTTTCTATATTATGATATTATCACTTCTCGTAAGTGCGACTACGCTATTCCTGTACCCTGTCTCCTTGTCTACTGCTCCTTCTCAAACAGCCTCATAATCCCCTGCATCCCACGAGCTGCAGCAACATCCAAAGCCGTTAGCCCTTGCTTATTCTCCTTCCTAGCATCCAAGCCACACGCCATCAATTCCTCGAACAACCACACGCCATCAGGCTCACTCTCACTCATACGAGTGTCTTCCCGCCCCGCAATGGCATGTAATAAGGTATCCCCATTATCATTAACCGCAAATATATCATGAACTTGGAACATCTGGCGGACATCCTCTTCCGCAGGTGGTGAGCCGATACCGTATTCGTCTCGCTCCTTGATTGTCCGAACAAACGGAAATAATGGAGTGTCTCCCCGGGCGTCACGGAAATTGACATCGCACCCGGATTCTACAAAGCGAACGTAGAGATTTTTCAGCTCAGCCTGGTGATATGTCTCCTTTGCTGATCGGGAGCTGTTGTCCGGGGAGCTATAATAGACTAACAGCGGGGCGAGAATGTGTAGTGCTGTTTCGCCATTCGGGCCTGTTATGAGGGGATTTGCACCGGCGGTAAGCAATGCATTAGTCATTTCAAGTCTTTCGTTGCCATCGGAGTAACTGAGAGCGTAGTATAGAGGGGATAGACCGGCGTTGTCGGTTATAGAAGAAGGTGCACCTCTTTCTAACAACATAGCGACGGTTTTGCATTTGCCTGAACGGATGGCAAGGTGGAGAGGGGTTGAGCCATCCTTGTCTGTGACGTTGATATTTGCGCCGGCACATATCAGTTCAATTGATGTTGACTCTTCGACCATGTAATATCCATCGACGGAGGAACAGACACTCAGTAAGGGGGTAAGGCCGTTGCAGTCTGTGGCTTCGAGAACATCTGGCCTAGATTTTAAGATGGGCCCAAGGCGGCCATGGTGGTGGGCGATCTGATGGAGGACTGTGCTGTTGCTATCCTCAAGCTCCAATAACGGGTTTGCTCCCCGCTGCAGGAGGAGGGCCATAACCGTCTCTCCAACCTCCCTTGCTTCTAAGGCGGCAGCTAGGAGGGGCGTTTCTATCTTGGGACCTGTCCCATATCGTCTCTTTGGGTAGTATACCGCATTCACATCCGCACCAGCATTCAGGATCATGGTTATAGCGTCACAATCGCGACTTTTTATGGCAGCAAATAAGGCTGGTACATGGCCCAGATTTATATCGGCGCCGTGGTCAAGGAGTCTCTGGACAAGCTTACAACCTCGGTTGGTTTCTAAAGCCACAAGAAGAGGCGTGGAGTCGTTATTGGGAGATAGTTTGTTGATATTTGCGCCGTGCCTTAGAGCCACCTCCAGAGTCTCATTCCTCCAGAAGCCATGGTTACGTTGACCGTGACTTTTGCCGGAAAGCGCACATTGTAGGACGGTGTTTCCATCCGAGTCTGTGATCTCAAGGTCTGCTCCTGCGTTGCACAGAGTCTCAAGTGCTGCGATGTTCCACCACTGCCTGCCCGCTGCGAGAATATGTGTAGCCGTGTATTTTGGGGCTGAGACCTCAGTAAATTCATCGGAGTCCACGTCGAATGGCTCTTCATATGAAGCATTGATATCGATCCCCAATCCTATCAACATAACTATCATCTGCAAGTTGGATAATTCTCGACCCGCGACAACGTGAAGTAGTGGGGGAGAGAAAGCATTGATATCCTTGACATACGGTGCCATAGCCTTCATCATGGATAAAAGACCCCAGTGCGCAACGTAGTGTACTGGGGTCAGCCCATCAGGGCCTTTGGTCAGCAGGTCAACTCCCGCACGTAATAGAGCATCTAGTACAGCCTCGTTTCTCAAGGATATAGCAGTTTGAAGAAGGTTATACGCGTCCGCCCTTTCAAGGCTAAGGCCTTGAACAATGTCCTCAGCGTGTATGCGTTTGGACGAGCATACCCGACCCATTAAGTCTCTCAGTTCACACTGTTTTGTGCGAATTGAGAGCGCATTCCATACATCATCGTGACCTAGATGTAAAGCGACATCGCAAGCAGTTTGACCAGAGCTATCTTGCATATTGATATCTGCGCCTGCACCTAGCAGTAACTGTACAATGTCTTGCATCATGTATGCTTCGTCTTCACGCTCGATAGCGAAGCTTAGATTCCAATGGGCATCAAGTAGGTCGCTCTGCAATATCGGGTGTATAAAACGTCGCAATGTGTTGGACTCACCGATAACTTGTCCCCACAATTCTCCTCCGCTATATTTACGCTGTTTCCTCAGTGCTGCCACATCGACTTTATGCTCTGCAGCCATGTGCAACGGGGTCCTCCCGTGGCAGTCTGCGATGTTTACCTGTGCTCCAACTTGCAACAGGTGATAGACACACTCAGAATTCCCTGAACTAGCTGCGTAGTGCAGAGGAGTGCAACCGTGATCATCCTTTTGGTCCAATGACCAGGAACTTTCCTTATATAGTTTACATAGCAGGCCCACGACATTGCTTTGCGCGGCGGCAGCCGCGAAGTGTAACGGAGATCGACCGTCATCTGATTGGGCTTGTATATCTGCCCCGGCTTGTATAAGTCGCCACGTGATGATTTCCGATTTTGAAGAAGCACAATGGATAGGCGCAAGACCTTCATTATCTTGTGCACTCACATCTAAGCCTAGATTGGGTTGCAAGAGGAAGTCTATCCGGTCACAGGTGCTCGGGTTAGTAATATTGGCTACTTTGTGTAGAACTGTTTGTCCTCTATAGTCTGTTGTGTTGGCCAGCCCACCCAGTTCAAGAAATACCTCGAGTTTGGTTTGGAAGGGGATGAAATGAGCGTCTGATACGACCGCATCATGAAATGGAGTGTTTCCGTCCATGTCGACGCCGTTGATGTCAACCCCTTCTTGCATGAGTAATTTCATAATTTTCAGCGTTGAGTTCAAGTCTTCCTCTCCATTTCCGTGCAGCGCTAGTTGAACTTGGGCAACTAAGTGGAGGCCTAATTGGACTATTAGAACAGCTAAGCATTCAAATATATCTCAGGTATACCCACATGACTTGTGCTGAAAGTCGATTGCCTTTGCATTAGCACCATTTTCAAGTAAACCAATGATGAAGTGCGTCTCCGCATTTGCGCACGCAGCAAGTAGGGCTGTCCTTCCCCTTCGGTCTCGAGATTCAAGATCTAGTCCTTTCTCCGTGAACAATGAGATAGCCTTTACTCTTTCGTGGCCGTCGTTTCCAAACGCTAGCTTATACAAACAGGTCTCTCCGGCTTTATTCTTGACTGTAGGGTCTGCGGATTCCAGCCATTTCTGCACGTGGGAATACCTGAGCATCCATGATGCGCAAATATGATGCAGTGCCGTGTTGCCATCCGAGTCTTGCAAGTTAGGGTCCGCACCATTTTCGATGAGCGGCGTAACATCAAGGCTTTTATTCATCGCGGCGGAGATAAGAGGCGTTACAAGATCTCCATGCCGACCATGGTTTATATTGGCTCCAGCGTTCACAAACAATTCTAGAACCCTAGAGTTCATATTATCACTTGTTAGATTGTGTAGGGGTGTATTTCCCTTGTTGTCAGTCGCACAGGGATTGGCACCATGTTTGAGGAGAAGTTCCACGAATCGTTCTGTTCTATCTGATCTACGGGGAGCACACATGTACTGCTTAGTCCAAGCAAACAGTGCAGTCTGACCGGCATCGTTTTTTGCTTCAAGATCGCAACCTGCTTTGATCAGCAAAACACCTGTTCTCTTCCACTCCTCGATGCTGCAAACGTCCCCTTCACTCCGGCTTCTATATCCAACGGCTGTCCAAGCATGGATTGGAGTCTGTCCTTTTCCGCTCTTTGCGGTATCTATGTCAGATGGGGCCTCGGAACTGCCCAATTTGAACGATCTCGCATTTACATTGGCACCATAATGAAGCAGAATACGAACTGTTTCCGGTTCACCGCGACGCGCAGCTAGGAACAAAGCTGTGTTGCCATAGCTGTCGCGCTTGTCCAAGTTTTCCAGAACCGCGGGGTGCCTAAGAAGGGCTTCGAGAGTTTTCGATTGACCTGTAGCAGACGCCCAATGTGGAAGGACTGAGCTCTTCGAAGGGAGATCCAGGTTCCGTAGCAGTTCCAATACACAAGCTGTGTGACCTAGCTCAGACGCATATTGTACCGGTGTCTTCCCTAATGTAGATGGACTCCACCTCCAGTAGCCTTGGTCTTCGCAGGACTTTGGCGACATCGGGTCTGCACCAGCCTCGAGTAAAAGTTGCACGACCTTGACGTGGTTGCCCCTCGCTGCGTGGTGAATAGGTGTTAAGCCATCGATATCGATGGTTATAAATGACGCATTGTAACCTAAGAGAGCAGCTAAAGTCTCAAATTGGCCATGCATACAAGCATAAGTGACTGCTGTCCGATTAAAAGAGTCAGCAACATCCGGGTCCCCATGTACCTTTAGGAGGTGTTGGGTATATGCCGAAAGCCCAGCCTGAGCGGCGAGATGAATTGGATGAAAACTATCGGGGACTGTCTGGTTCATTTTTGCGAATATGAAGTCCTTCCAGCTTTCGAAACTGTGCTTCTCATTCTGAAAGAGAGCATCTAATTGTAATATGAACTCTGGGTCACTGGAATCACACTTGGCTGCATGGTAGAGTAGGTTCTGCGATGCGTACTGCAAGAATGGGAAATGGACCATTAGCTGCTTGCGGTCTGGCTCATGGTCTGCTGGCTTGGTCGGACGCTCAGACAATGACCAGGATCTGAAACAACCAGATAAGAGATAATCCACACACAAGAGAGTGAGAGACCGATGGGTTGAAGTAGGTGTTAAGACGGGAAACCAGTTGCTATTTTCAGTGGGAGTTGTCTCAGTATTGCGATTTCTGTCTAAGAGAAACTCGGTAAACGAGTGGTGAATGACTTGCACAGTTTCGTTATCTAAGATCTCTAGAAGTGGGCCACATGATCTACGTATCATGATTTTTGCATCCTGCGAGCTACTTAGCCCGCTGCGATCAGAGGAAGCATTGACCAAAGCTGCTAATTCCGTGATGCGAAGTGGACGGCAAGCGTGTGTGACCCATGAGAGTAGCCAGCATTGAAAGTGTTGGCTGGCACCAGAGCGCGAAGAGTGTTCATGCAATATGCTGACATACATCTCTTCCATTGAGCTAGGGAGGTGTTGTAAATGTTTCTTCACTGGCAGCTCGGATTGAAGAAGAATCTGATCGAGCATGAGACGGGCATAGAGAAACAAGCCTTGTGCTTTTCGGCTGAGCTTTTCCTGGACAACTGACTGACTTTCTGCCACAGCAGGATTATTCTGCTGGTAACCTAGACGGTGAGCTATGTATGTGGCAATATCCTGGTCCACCATTTCCCCTGCAAGACGGATACGATTCTGGAAGGGGCCTCTAAGTGCTGTCTGAAGATAAGCTTCTGGACGACTGGTTATTATCAACTTGATTGATTTCGGGCTCTGTTGCCCAAGCTTTTGTAACGATTGAAGAAAGCCATCATTCTCGACCGCAAGCTCATCTAGTGCGTCCAACAATACATATACCTTGGGAACGGCGTCAATGCCGAATAAGAGGAGGTTCCAGAGTTCGTGGAATGGAACACTATCCACAGTAGGGTGTAGAGCCAAAAGCATCTTTAGTCTTGCCTGAAGCAGAGCACTCTGACCTAAAAGTTGATACAGGCAATCTTGAACAAGCTGTCGAGGTTCGCTGTTTGTTTTGATGATTCGGCGGGCGAAGAAGAACAGTACCGGCATACCTTCTTCTTTGAAGGTACGAATCAACTTGGCGGCCATGACAGACTTGCCACTGCCGGGTATGCCTTGAAGCCATAAGGTGTTGATGTTTTCATCGTGCCAAGTCTGGTACTGGTCTGTATGGAACAGCCAGTCTCCGGTCCCGGAGGTATGGGCACTCAGGTGTTTCTGATATTCACTGCCCTCCGTCTCGAACTCTGTTGGGGAGAGCCAGATTTCTATCTGGTCAATATCATGGCTGGTAACTACTGATATTAGCTGGAGTTTGGCTGTATATTTAGAGGTGGTGTTCACACTTCTGGGAGTCAACTCTCCATCTGTGGGACTTCATTTAGCTTGAATGAATCAATTATGATATTGTATCCATTATTGGCTTCAATCACTCACCCCGCTTTTCCACGAGTACAAAATCATCGTTGTCCATGGTTGAGGTCACAATATTGAACGGTTACCGTTTGGAAGAGTACTAGAGCTCTTAGAGGTGAGCAGGTAGACGTGGAGCGGGGGAGCTTCTGCAGCCTAGTCAATACGAGTCGATCTACCGGACTTGCTCCACGCGCGACCGATTTCTATTTCTTGGCTTTGGTTAAGTCTAGCTCGCTTTAGGCCGTTTCTATTATTAATTCAACAAGTCTAAGTATATGTTGAGGATAAGTAGTTTCAGGAAAAATTGGTCCGCGAAATGTACTGTGCCCATTTACGTCGTAGTCATTCTGGCTCCGAAGTGCGACAAATCAATAACGTTGCCTCCTGTTGATATATCAAATATCGTGGACGATGCTCAGCTATCTATAACCCTGACAAGTGCTCCGAGAGTAGTATACCATACTCTCTGTTCTATGCTCCATTTCCCCATGTTATGTGCTGCCCGCCGCTTCATTCATCCGCTCCCACTCAGACCGACTTGACCAGGCTCAGCCGATGCTCTCAATATCTATCTGCACGGAGATGCATTTGTGAGAAAAGGCGTTGGTTGAGTCACAAAGTCGTGGATATCAGGATGTCTTGTCGTTGTCTATAATCTCATACTTCGTCTCGTTACAGGTCTCCCGAGAGAACATAACCTAATACTGCTAGATCTAGCTCTCGGATTTCTTAGAATCTTCTTTGAGAGCCACGATCCGGTTAAGTACAACCGAGTCTTCAGTACTATCCGAGTCCATCGCCTGTGTAATGGTAAGATATTAGCAACTAGTCTCTGCGCAGGCATATGAAAGGGAATCGGTGTGCTTACAAAGTATGCAACCCGCATGGCTTGGAAACGGACGCCCTCAGGCCCAGACTGGGTCTTTTCGCCCTCAGCCTGCGGCCAAGGAGCACGGCGGCGAACCTCCTCAAATCCAGCGTTGACAAGTGCATCAGGGTAAACATTCTCACTGTCGGGATTAATGTCGTTGAGGAATCCACCTTCCGCGGCCATGGGATTTTCGGACTTGAAGAGTGCATTATGAATCCGAACTGTGACCTTACGAGAGCCTTCTGGGACCCACTGAATATATGCCTTCGGCTTCGGAGCGTCTTTCGCCAAGACAGCTTGAATCTCTGTTACCTTGCCGGTAGTCGGGTCCTTGGAGAAAGAAACCGCCTTAATAGGATGGGGCACCTGGAGCAAACCGACGGTCTGACCTGGCGACAGGCGGAAGAAATCCTTGGAAGAAACTTCGCGGAAATCGGACCGGTCGATATAAACAGTCGACGTCATCTTCAACTTATAGGAGCCAAATTCGGGCTGCTTTGGCGAGAAAGGCAATACTAGCTCTTGTCCGTCTAAGTCGCCGATGTCTTGGATCACGACGCGAACAGGGTCTAGGACCAACATGAGGCGAGGGACGGATGTTTCTAGATAACGGCGAACCGTCTGTTCGAATCGTGCAATCTGGATGGTGCTGAGTGACGTAGTCACACCTAGCTCGTTGATAAAAGAAAGAATAGCACCAGGGGGCACGCCACGCCGGCGAATACCAATCAAGGTATAAAGACGAGGATCATCCCAGCCGCGTACATGTCCCTTTTCAACAAGTTCCCTCAAAACTCGTTTACTCATGACAGTACCACTAACATTTAAACGGCCTAAAAGTTGCGTAAGCAGGAGCTTGACGTGGTCAACTACAGCAACAGAAACCCACCATATTCGCGCTGCATCGGCTCATAGACACCAAGTGTCTTGTTCAACCATTCGTAGCTCTCACGGGCAGTAACAAACTCAGTTGTGCAAAGACTGTGAGTGATGCCTTCAAAGCTATCGCAAAGACAGCTGTATAGAGGATCAGTAACCGTACATCTGAAGTACCTTCACGCCAGAAAAAGCACTTACTGGGCAAAATCGTAGGATGGATAGATACACCACTTGGAACCAGTACGGATATGAGGGGTACGGTTCTTAGGGATACGGTAGGCGACAATATCCCACATCTGAGGGTTTCCGTTGGTGAGTAGCTGCTGGCGCATGCGCAAAAAGGCTGTCTGCGGCTCGTATTTCCCATCGCGCATATCGCGGAATTTGATAAGGTTGGTTTCCACATCCTGAGAGGCGTGGACACAGTGGAATCGTGGCGATTTGCCATCTTCACCCCCGCGTTGCAATTTAAGATCAGCCTCACCGCAGTGGCAGACGTAGGCATTGCCTTGCTGAATCAACTTCTCGGCAAGGTCATACAAGCGCTGGAAGTTGTCACTCGAGTAGGTAATCTCATGAGGAGTAAATCCTAAGCGAGGTAAACCAATTAGCGGAGCGCACTAGATCAAGTCCATGCGGGAAACCGTACCAAGCCAGCGAATTATATCCTCGATCGCATCGAAGTACTTCTCCTCCTCGGCGTCCGGGTTCGTGTCGTCGAAGCGAAGCATAGTTACACCGCCATGGTATCGCGCAAAGCCGAAATTAATCGCGATGGCCTTGGCGTGGCCGAGATGGAGATATCCATTGGGTTCGGGAGGAAATCTCGTTCTGACGTTTGGCGAAGGTCTCAAGTTGTAGACTTCAGCGAGGAAGCCCTGCTTGAACATAGCATCGGGATCGAGAGTGGGCTCGACTGATTTAGGAGGAGTAGCAGCCTTTGTCTCTGGCTTGCTTGGCTGGTTCTCTTTCGCAGCTGCCTTGGAGGCCTTCTTGGCTCGTTTCTGCATTCGTTTCTTGAGCTCGCCCTTGGAAACCATCTCGCCCGTCTCCGGGTCGAGCTGGAGCTTGGCAACTCCCTCCGCAACGGTGTCGGCCATTGTGGCTTTCTTTGCAGGATTTGCAAGCGCTAATCGGTGGTAGAGTGTCGTGGATGGGAGGTTTTGATTGAATTCCCGCCGATGTGTCATAGCATCCAGAACCCCGCCAGTGGCAGCCTTAGTTTTTCCGTAACACGAGGGGCATGTGTCACGTGCTCCGCTGGAGGTCCGCAACTGCTTATTAAGCATGTTATACACTCACTTCAATCTGGATACTAGTTCTATATAATTCTTCCTAATTAGGAAACTAGCACATACGACCACAGGGTGTGGAGAACAGGGCTTCCCGTCCGCTCAGCCGTACTTAAGCCACACGCCGGGAGGTTAGTAGTTGGGTGGGTGACCACCAGCGAATCCCTCCTGTTGTATGTTTTTTTGGTTATTTCATCATCTTTTTTTTTTTTACTCTGGCAAATAGATATGACAACTGTAGCCCGTTCTCTGCAACTGTATGTGAAATAAAAAGAGCACATTAGGTGGGTCAAACTCTCCTTGAGGAAACTATCTTATTGTCACTTGAAGAATGGTGAGTTATTGCTTTTTTCGTTGTATATATGCAGATTCCTGGTCAGTAACTTGTTCAAAATATCAGAACATGTGCTTTGCCTTAAGCGAACAAGGATGCGATCTCTTCTTCATAGAGAGCCAAAGTTTGCAACCTCGCCACACTCCCTTTAGCCGTCACAAGAAAAGGCTTGTCCTTCGTGGCGAAGATCAACCGCTCCGAAGAGAGCTTCACACAGTCATGACAATGTACATTGACTTTCTCGATATAGGGCTTTAGGCTTTCCTTCAAAGCTGTATTGTCCAGCTCCACCCCAGGAATCAACTCCACAAGAAGAACTGGTGATATCTTGCCATGGCCTCCAATGATCGCGGTCTTCACGCTAGGATGAGCGATGATCTCTGGTTCCAGCAGCGAAGCATGCAGTCCGTCACCATGGGCTAGATATACGTAATCGTCGCTGCGGCCGATAATCTTCCATAGCCCTTTGTGCACTGGATGCTCGATCCACAGATCATCTGTTCCGAAAGAATCGCGATCTGGATAGACTTGAAAAATCTGCTGCATTGCGCATTCAGGACGACGTACGAATACTAGCTCGTGCAGGTCGTTCATGCGGTGTTCGAACTCCGCCCCGGAATGCTTTTGGAAGGACAGGTAATCCCATGCGTCCTTATTTTGATGGATAGTTGTAAAGTACCCGCCTGCTTCGGTGCTGCCGACACATGGGACAACTTGCGTGTAAGGTGCAAGCAGATTTCCAGATTTGGCCGAGAGAGGAGCACCAGCATAATGAATGTACTTAAGCTCGCGTAACGCTTCAACACCTTCGGGGAGGAGGCAGAGTTGGTCAATTAGAGCGGGCATGAGAAGCGCACCGTCTATACGGCCGTAGTGGAAGATATCTATAAGAAGTTTAGGGGTAGGGGGTCCTGGAGGCCCAATAACGGACGTCATATTCACGAACCCAGTCATGGCAAGACTCATCAACATGCCAACAAACTATGCTAGTAAGCGTATATCCGGAATCAAGAAACAGGCTCGGATCGAAGTCTTACATGTAGCGAGGGCAAAGGGGTGTACCACCTTCGCTGGGCATATTGATGAATATGAGTTTCTTCAATGTCCGGCAAAGAAGCCGCGGTATCGGCACCAGCCATCATTTGATGTGTATAGGTGATCGGCTTGGGATTTCCTGGGAGAAGGTTAGTATAGGGGTTGGGTGAGTCGAATTAAAAATATACCTGTTGTGCCTGAGGTGTGGAACACCAGCCACGGATCATCTTTTCCTTCATCCCATGTCTTACCATAAACTACTGGCGATGCTGTATCATCCCGGAGAAACTCCTCAACTCCTGGGACCGTGATACTCTCGATATGAGGTGCCTTTTGTAGAATAGCATCTACAGGACCGGCCATTTCTACCGGCCTGAGATACAATTGACAATTTTTCTTTTCCAGAATACGCAGCTGAGCCTCTGGCGTGATTAACGGCGAGGGAAGGATCATCTAGATTTTGATCAGCTTATCTCGTAGTTCCTAGTTTCTTCGAGAAACCTTTGGATAATATACCACTTTCTGTAGCTTTGCCACGGCTACAGCAAGAATCGCATATCGCAGGTCCTTGGGACCTGCATATGCAAAACATTGAAAGGGCTCGGACGTCGTCGGAAGGGCTTGACTTAGCCACTGAGCTGCGTGGTTTGCTGCGTTGTTCAGTTGCTGGAAAGTAATGTCGCGGTACCCCGCGGAAAGATCCTGGTCGTTGATGGGAAGCGAGATCCAGGGATTAGTGTTAGTGCCCTCTTTGGCGCGGTTCTCAATGACAGTGGCTAAGATGCGTTTGCCGTGGGCAGCGCCAGGCAATGGAAAGGTAGCAGAGACCATGGCTCTACGTAGATACTATTGCAAAAGGATGGAGGATCATTCGGTGGTGAGGCAGGGAAAAGCAATGGGGGCCAAAGAGGGGGGAGTGTCTTTGTCTTTATATCCTCTAGTGGACCCCGTTGGCAAACCCAATGCAATAGTAATAAATCAAAGTTACAAACGCGCTCCGAATCATTCCGGAGCTGCAACACTGTACACTTCCCTTTGTGTTTTACTGCTGGTTCATTATTCATGCATTGCGTCGGATCCCCGGTGTGCGACTGCTCCCGCAATCCCACCAAGGATTAATATTCACAACAAAAAACGATAGACATATATATACATCGCACAAATTTCCACAGGAAGCACCTGCCTATTTACTTCCGGCCGGTGTAGGCCCTTGGACGCTCGCCCGATTTAGATCTCTGTCAAACGACCTGAGCGGGATATGTCCTTGCTTCGCGTAGTAGTTCATCTCATACCCTTTCCCATCCTCTATAGTGAAAGTTCTCTCAACTGTCACGCCGCTTTCATGCGTTGTCTTGAATTGTTTAAACCACCCAGGTAGTTTTCTCAATAGTGGGCGCAGGCGCATACTGCACGCAGCGGCCATATACATGCCGCTTTCAACGATTGTCCAGCTCATCAATTGAACATCCGTCCCTAGATAAGAAAATTTACTTAGCTCAAAGATCATCTAGAGTTGAGCGCAGGGTATACATACATGTAGGATCTTGCGTAGACTGTTCTTGCGACGTGAAGAAGGAAGCGGTTCGGAAGCAGGACGCAATCAAGCCTCTGACATCTGCATTAGGGCAAGGGTTATCGGATCGATGGGTTTGTTTCCCCTGAGAAGTACTCACATGCTACCAGAGAGAAAAACAAACGAAATCGCTACTCTCTTGGCTATTGATGCCTGTAGGTTCCACACTGTGTGCGCGGGGAGTACCATGATGGCAGCATCGCCGACTATATTCAGAATCCCACTCAACTTAAAGAACAAGAATAGATTGATGCATGTTCCGTCCCCAGTGCGATCCCAGAAGTATGCGAGTGGTCTGCATTCTATGGCACCGGCAATCGTTTGCGAGAGGAGGAATAGGACCATATAGACCATCAGGAGAACGGTGCATTTTCGCGCAACACCTGGCGTAAAGATAGTATAGAGCAATACCAAGACGGAGACTCGCGAGAAGCAGTTTGAGTATGCCGAGACCCAACTGAGCGAGTAAAGCAATTTCCCTCGTACAATTATGATATTTGGGTCTTCCAGCATCAGTGCCTTGACATGGCGACCGGCGCCACCATGGGTGACCGCAACTGAATTGAATCCATATTGATCAGCGCAAGGGCTCTATGAGAAACAATATGAAACCAAAGCAATGAGAGGTTCAAGCTCACGATAGCCACAAATACAGGAAGCTAACGAAAGAAGATACGCTGGGAGCAACAGCATATCTTCCAAGCCAGTCTTCACATTCGGCAGACTGCGGATATAGAGACGAAGGGCCAATAATACAGTTGTAACTACCAAGATAACCGACGATGCTGCGACGAGCCGAGCCGAGATATTTTCTTCCAGATACTGGGGTGAGATTTGTTCTCTCGGTATTGGTGTGCCAGGCATGATGTCACCAATGTGCTCTTAACACTCACTACCGAGGGAGAAGAAATGTATAGCGTCTCTATACACAAGAGCGCCTGCCATTGAAAATGAGAAAAATGGGAGACAAGTCGGTCAGTCTGGTTGTGGATAAGAAGAATAATGACCATGCAGCTGTCGATATCTGCTGCACACTCCAGAGCCAAATGCTTACATGCATGTTCACAGCCCCATACTATCAGGGATTAGGGCCGTCACATCAGCGGCAACGCATGGGCTATGTATGCCTGATACGGTGCCATCTTAGTTGCTCCGAGGCTTATACATGTAGCTGCAATGCAGCCAAGGCAATATGCCTTGTTTGAAGCATGATTGGAGGGGTTAGTTACCTACACCAACGCACGGGAATACTATCTTGGGAAAATGTCTCTGCAGAATGGCGTTATGTCGATCCCAATCAGCATTTTGCCGGAGGAGGGGTACATGCCAACATGGGCGTTACCCGGAGAAAACTGGATATACGCAGAAACTGCGCTAGTATGGTCCTCGTACTGACTAACTCTCTATGGGGTTAATCCTCTAGTCAGCAATCGATCGTCGGAAGCTACTTGATCCTCAATCCTTGATCCGAACTGTTACCTCTGTATGCACTAGTATTACTGCATACAGCCTGCAGTTAATAAGATTACATATTGTAAATGTGCTACCCCGATTAGCAGACGGACACATAGGCAGGCCTGAAGAGGCCAGACGGGGTGGATATTCTCCACTCCAATATCGACGCTGCAGCTACTCTGGGGGCCAAATGGCCGCTGCCGGAATGCGCACGAGGTAGAGCGAGGATACTATGTACGCAAGTGAGCAACGATCGCTTTGCGCACGGAACTCAGCCAGCCCTACGAATTTACAAGCACGAGGATGCACGCCGTGCCACGGTTCAGCCTGGTTGCAGGCAACCGCATTGTTGTAATTTCCCAGGGGGGTTGTCTACTAGTAGTATTTGTCAAAATAAAAGCGCCAATAGATTAAATGGATTTAAATAGATTAAAGAGTAAACACAAATCGTATGTTAGAACATTGGCATATCCAAATTATTTCCGCCCCTTAACCCGTCCTCCCAGCGACCGGGATGATAGATTTCCGCGGACAGATAAGACGTTAAGCTGAGTTGACCACGTTTAAAGGCACAGGCAATGTAAGTCTGGACTCCACACCCCTGGTCTAGCGAGCGAAACGAGGCGTACTGCTCTAATGCCTTGAGGAAACGATCCTGGTACGGGGTGCGTCCACCGCGACGTTGCAGAAACTCCACCAGGCCCACGGCAATCGCATGGTCACTTTGACCGTAATGCCGTACAGGAATGTATACTTTGGTCTCAGGTTGTTGATTGCCAAGTTTAATATCAAAATTATACAGCACGCCTGATGTCTCATGTGATTTCGAAGGGAGTTCCTGGTCATGTGAAAAGTCAGGCGGCAGACCAAGGACAAGAGACCACAGCTCTCGCAGTTGCTCCAGCGCGCAAGCGTCCCACGACGACACGGTTCCGCCCGCAGTTAGCGTGTCTTTGACACTGGCAAAGCTGGTCGACGGACTGCGAAAGTAAATTTTGAGTTTCGCTGCGGATGGATCGACACAGTCGACGGCCACACCAATAATATGGGCGGGAGTGCCACCTTCTTCCTGATGTCGCAGGAAACCCTGCAGCGGGGGATAAGCGGACAAGTCGGAGAACTGTGGTAGCGTTCGAACGGCGTCGTCGAGAACGGCGAGTCGTGACTGACCGGTCTGTTCCGCTTTTACCGGGACCAGGTACATTTTGCACATCATACGACCATCTCGACCGAGGTCGAACCCAATGAAAACGGAGGAGGGACTGGACCCATCGTGGTGGGCCGCTACTTTGGCGGACGTATCTCGATGAAAAGCACGGGCGAAGTGGGCGAACCACGTCCAATCCGCGGCGGGCAGTTGGCGCCGAAGGTGATCGGCATATGCCATCGGAGCTTGGTGGTTGTATGGATCCCATTCCGTCCCTGCGAAAGGGCCGATTGGCTCAAAGCTATATCGGATGGTTGGTCGTTCTCCGTCCCAGCTCCAGCTATATTCCAGTGGAGAATAATCATCGGTCATGAAGCTTTTCCACTGAGGTGCCTGGCCCTGGGTAGGACGTGCACCTAAAGCAGGCGCAACACTTTGGGAGACGAAAGTGAGGTGTTGTTGTAGCGAGGCAGCGTCATATTCCGCTCCTCCCATGAGCGTTCTCAGTGCAGTTCCCACTGCATTTTCCCAGAACTGCGAATCCACATAGGGCTTGTCGGCAAAGGATGTCGTGTCCTCTGACTCGGTAGCAATAGCCGTAGATATGTGGCTTTTCTAGCCTGAAATTAGTAGTTTGTCTTGACAATGTCGAGGAGCAAAAAGAGATCTACAATATACCGGAACGGTGTAGGGGCTCAACCTATAGCGGATCTGAAGTAACCTGGTTGAGCCGGACGCGATGATATTTCTTCCCCATAGAACAGGCGTCATAGTTGATCTAAGTGATCAGAATATGAGGACAGTTGTGGAAATATAAATAGTGAGACCCAGGCCTCCCTAGTTACGTTCAGCCTTTCGCCTTGCTCATATCTTTCTGCCATAATACCGATGCTATTGGACCAACTGATCGAATAGTGTCGGTCTTATTTGGCTTGGAAAAATGACGACCGAAATGGGGTTTGCCCCCACAGTGTTCGCTCTTTCGTTGGAGGGGACTCATTCGTGGGGATGGGCCGTTGGTGCAGGGGTAGTGGTGATATTCGTGCTCTATCTTACACAGCGGATTGCTTATGGCAGACCCGCCTACGCTCATGGGTGTCAAGCACCCACACGGTATGCCCACCGGGACCCTTTCCTGGGGTTGGACTCTTTGCGAGACTCCATGCAGGCGAGGAGATCCGACAGATATTTTCGAAGAGAGCAACAACTACACCAAGTATATGGCAACACATTCATGTCGCTGCTGTTGGGCAGCTGGATGGTGAATACAATTGAGCCAAAGAACCTGGAAGTTCTCTTTTCTACTAAATTTACCGATTACGAGGTTGGATTCCGACGTCGGAATGCCTTTGCCCCCTTATTTGGCAAAAGCATCTTTCAGAGCGATGGAGCGCGTTGGCAAACATTACGATCACAGCTACAACTATGCTTCTCGCGGGTACAAACATCACAGTTGGATCTCCTGGAGCGTCACTGTCAGCGTCTCCTGACAGCCCTTCCGCCCGATAACCAGAACTTCGATTTGGCCCTCTTTCTCCATCGATTTGCTGCCGATGTTTCAACAGACTTCCTTTTTGGAGAGTCAATCAATTCCCTCGAGAACCCTCAGAACTTGAACAGCGGAGCCTTGAAGGCGTTTGCCGACACCCATAGCACCTGCGAGCTTCGATGGCTGCTGGGATCCATGTCATGGATTTGGCCTCAGCGGACATTCATGAAAAATGTTCGCTTAACCCACCGCTTCATCCAACGATACGTCGATGCGGCGTTGCAACGGGAAGTCGCGCCACCAGCAAAAACTTCAGAACAGCCAAACGAGCAGCGGATTCTGTTCATCGACCAACTTCGTCAACGAACGCAAGACCCCACTGCACTTCGGGATGAGTTGACGACATTATATTTTGCAGGAACAGATGCCCCTGCCGCTTTGCTTATCAACCTATTCTTTGTGTTCTCTAAAAGGCCGGATGTGTGGGATCGTGTACGCACTGAGATCCAGTCTCTGAGAGGGAAGCTGCCCGACGTCCAACAGCTCAAGGGCCTCCGATACGTGCAGGACTGCATCCGTGAATGTAAGCTATTGGATTTCTCTATGACCCCGATGGGATCATGGCCAACCTTGACGACTAACTCTCTCTACCTAACTACCTAGGTCTTCGCCTTTATCCCCCTCAACCCTCCAACTCCCGTGTGGCCGTACGCGACACCATTCTTCCCGTTGGCGGTGGTCCAGATGGAAGCTCGCCCGTGTTAGTGCCGAAAGGTATGATGGTTCACCTTTCAGTCTATGCGCTTCACCATCGAAAGGACCTTTGGGGCGAGGACGCGGATGAGTTCCGCCCGGAACGGTGGTCCTATGAAAAGCAAACCTGGGTGAGAAGCTCTTATCTTTTTCAGTTGCTTTGCATTATTCTAACTGAGACGCGTTATCATCGGAGTAGAAATATATCCCGTTCCTCGGAGGTCCCCGAAATTGCGTAGGCAGTAAGTTCCCCCCCCCCCCCCTGTTCTATATTAACGCTCGATTTATGATCAAGTGCTAACTAATATATCTTGCCAGTGGATTTTGGTCTAAACGAAGTGGCGTACGCTGTCGTACGAATGGCGCAAAACTTCAAGACCATCACCAGTGTCGATCCAGACGAATGGGTGGAAGGGTCCAGCATCGCGCTGGAGTCGAAAAACGGGGTTCAAGTGGCCCTGTGCAGGGATTGCAACCGAGGAGGGACGTCGGTAAGAGTCTAGATAGACATCCCTCCTGTAAGATAGAGAGAACATGGCGAATCTAGACGCAGCAATATGTAACGTAGCACACATGGGGATGGTTGCGGTTCAGTGGTTGGACGGATATGGTGAGTCGGACTCCACTGTTGGCACTAATGCCGCGTATATACAGCTAAAATCCCCCTAGTTTAGTGCTGACAATTGGTGTACGAGTCCTCTCAGGCGCCTATAATAATGCCCATTGAAAGCCTCGTTTTGATTCAGGCCCCACGTGCAATATACAAAAGTACCGGAGACTCAATGAAATACAAATGAAACCACGACGATCATTTACCTATCCAAGCACTTCGGCGCGATACGATGCTACCGTCGTGCCAACTCATCCTTCCGCAAGTGTACTTTCGATCGTCGGTTAAAGAGGCTCGGAGAAGATTGGCTGTGCTTCTTGGCATTGACTGAACCTTTCTTGATTTGCTTGTTCTTTGCTTGTTCTTGTTGGTTGGTTGGTTTTATTTAATTTATTGGGTTGGCTTTTTACCGGGCATGCTTTTCCAGGTAAGCCGTCAATTACACCACAGATCTTGAAATGGGAAAGTCATTCGAATTTCATACTTCACTGGTACTGCAGCAATGGCGTCTGCTGAATGAACTGCTTCGCGGTGCCGCCGAGGATTTGGTCCTCAATGGCAGCGGACTAGATATTCCTCATGTGGTTTACATTGCTAGGTAAAGAAATCCCCGGCTACACCGTGTACTCTGCGTTGGTCTAATCTATTCCAAACCCTTATAAAGATATGCTGGCAATGTGAGCATAGACCCTACTTCCTACGAATCCATTAATCAGAGCCATGCTGCCATTGCCAAGAGCCTTTCCCAAGGGGACGTCATCTACGGTATATCCAGATCACCTTATTTGTAACCCAGGAAGAATGAACCCCTAACTGGCTGATCCAGGAGTGAACACTGGATTCGGAGGCTCAGCAGATATACGCGCAAACGACGTCCTCGCACTGCAGCGCGTTCTAACCCGCGAACTAAGCTATGGTGTATTACCGCCCGGGGCGCGTGATCCTCGCCCTTCATCTGATCGCCAGAAGTCCGCATATCAGGCGTTCGATCTGAGTCTGGAACATGCAGCCGAGTCTCACCACCTGCCGCTTCCTTGGGTGCGCGCTGCAGTCTTACTGCGCCTGAACTCGCTGGTCAAAGGCCACTCGGGCGTCCGGCCCGTTATCGTAGATCGCTTACGGGACCTTCTTTTGAAGAATATCATCCCCATGGTGCCGATGCGGGGGAGTATCTCAGCCTCGGGAGATTTGAGTCCTATTGCGTATATTAGCGGCGTGCTTCAGGGCAAGCCAACAATTCGAGTTTTCCGTCCAGGCGTTGGACGCGATGTATATGCGGACGAGGCTCTTGCGCAGGCCGGTGTGGAACCGATATCCCTGACAGCCAAAGAGGGTCTCGCGATCGTCAATGGAACGGCCATGTCGGCGGCGTGCGCCACGCTCGTGCTACACGATACACACCAGCTGGCCATGTTGGGACAGATCCTGACGGCAATGACGGTGGAAGCACTGCTAGGCTCGCCAGAGAGCTTCGACCCTTTCTTCGCGGACGTGCGCCCGCACCCAGGACAGATCGAGAGCTCGCGGAACATCCGGGTGTTCCTGCGCGGGTCTCGACTCGCACTGCCAAAGGACGGCAAGGATGGTTCGCTCCGCCAGGATCGGTATTCAATCCGCACCGCGGCGCAATGGATGGGCCCCGTGCTCGAAGACCTGCTACTCGCACACCAGCAAATCAGCATCGAGTGCAACTCGGCCACCGATAACCCGCTGGTCAACGGCGACGGAAAGTTCCTACATGGCGGCAACTTCCAGGCCAAGGCCGTCACTGCGTCCATGGAGAAGAGTCGTCAGGCCGTACAAGCCATCGGCCGCATGCTCTTCACCCAGTGTCAGGAGATGATCAATCCCGCCACCAGCTGGGGTCTGCCGCCGAACCTGGTAGCAGACGAACCCAGTCAATCCGGTATCTTCAAGGCCATCGACATTTACATCTCGGCCTTGACCTCTGAGCTCGGGTTCCTGGCGGGCCCCGTGAACCATGTGTACAATGCTGAGCTAGGCAACCAGTCGTTGAACTCGCTGGCTCTGATCTCCGGCCGATACACTGCGACGGCCGTGAGGGTTCTTACGGAGCTTGTCGCGGCGCATCTACTCTCTGCTTGTCAGGCGCTGGATCTCCGTGCTATGCAGCTGCAGTTCTTAGACGGAGTCAAGACTGAGTTCTTCGCCCGCACTGTCTCAATGGCGGAAAAGCAGGGTCTGACCACCACGGATGCTAGCAAGACCCTCCCCAGCACGCTATGGGCCCATCTCCAGAAAGGACTAGAACAGACCGTCTCAATGGACAGTGCAGATCGGTTCCCTCACATTGCCAAAACTATGCGCGTGCCTATTCTGGACTGTGTGCCGTCTCAAACTGCCAACCTTGAAGATATGCAGTCATTCATCGACCAGCTCGGCCCCTGGCTCCACGAAGCATGGTGCACCAACCGGGACGCCTACCTGGTGCATGGTGATGCCAGCCCCATGTTGGGAGACGGCTCGAAGAAAATGTATCGCTTCGTGCGGACGACTCTTGGGGTGCCGATGTTGTGTACGCGGAGGATCTTGACGCCCACTACGGAGGCGATGGCTACCGGGCAGGTGGAGGAGGCGCCCACGGTGGGCGGATATACAAGTCTCGTTTATCGGGCAATTCAACGAGGTGAATTTTTACCCGTGATTCAAGAGCTGCTGGAGGAGTGTTTGACGAAGGAAGAGCTGGAGCAGTAGTTTCGTTTTTTATATTATGTTATATGAGCGCTGTATCGCCGTAAAATTTGTGTTAAAATCGAAGATAGATAGATACCATTTTCCTATGAATTAAAGAGTCGTGAGATTTATAGTGAATTCTATCATCATAATCTTTATTATTCCACCAATGAAGCAAGTATCGACCTAACTTTGCATCCTCACCTTTGTAAAACTGGCAGAGTTATAGGGCATGGAGGTCACATGCCGCGATGGAGGTGTAATAAACCCGAACCAAAGCAATACCGTATGAAAACAAGGCCTCCAACATCCCCGCATACTCAAATATACATCCCAGTCAAATACTAAAGTAGTACTGCTAATGCCTTCCGAGGCCTTAGCCTTGGCACGTGTCGGGTGTCCACTTCATTCACTATTATACTAACTACTTCTACCCTTCGCTTTTTCTCTGTATAGCTGTTCTACAAGTAACTACGTTGTGCATTTAGCTCAGCTTCCCCCATTGACACAACAATGACCTTCCCCTTCAAAGTCGTCGAACATGTCATCCCAGGCCAACACATCCGCGAATCCCCCCGTAGCATCAGAGGCCGACAAGAGACGCCCATCAAACTAGCCATTAAACAATATATCCCAAATAACGCCGACCCAATCCCGGACAATGCCATCACCATAATCGGGGTGCCCGGGAACGGGTCCCCCAAGGAGATCTACGAACCGCTCTGGGAAGACCTGTACCACCAGCTGAAGCAGCTCTCCGTGCCAGTGCGTGGCATCTGGGTAGCAGATACGTCGAACCAAGGCGCAAGTGGTATCCTGAATGAAGAGATTCAGGGAGACCAAAGTATGGTTTGAAAACCGAACCCGGGAAATGAGGATTAACTTGGCTAATGGGGTCCGTTTAGCTAACTGGTATGACCATTCGCGCGACCTGTTACATATGGTGAATCACTTCCGCGAGGAAATGCCGAGGCCGCTTATTGGTGTCGGCCATAGTATGGGGTGTGCTCAATTGTAAGCCAATCCCTACTTTCCAGCAGTGTGTAACAAAGCTCACCCACCATGATGCAGGGTTAATCTTTCCATCATCCACCCGCGTCTCCTGTCAACGTTAGTCCTGATCGAGCCAGTCATCCTGGAAGTAGCCTTCGGCGGCCCCAACCCAGCCATGATGGCCAGTCGCCGGAGGGATCTGTGGGAATCGCCCGAAAAAGCCGCCGCCTCTCTCAGCAAGGGCCTTGCCAAATGGGACCCCCGAGCTCGAGACCGCTACCTACGCCATGCGCTTCGTCCGGTGCCCACGCGGCTGTATAACCCAGCCACGGACCCCAAAGTGCCCCACACGGCGGTCACACTAACGACAACCAAGCACCAGGAATCCTGGAACTTCTTCACGCCGAACCTCGAGCGGGAGGAGCTGGACCGACTTCTGTTACCGGACTGGGATGTCGAGAAAGAGCGACCGTATCTGTTTTCCCGGCCGGAGTGCTGGTCCGCCATGCGGAATCTGCCGTACGTCCGGCCGAGTGTGCTCTGGGTGTTTGGGGGCAGGAGCTTTCTCTCCCTGCCGGATGCGCAGGACTCGAAGATGCGGACTACGGGCACGGGCACGGGGGGCAGTGGTGGCGTGGCTAAGGGGATGGTTGAGAAGGCGGTGCTGCCCAAGGGTGGCCACACTCTTGTGTTTGAGCAGGTGGATTGGTGCGCTTCGACGGTTGCGGATTGGACGCAGCGGTGGTTCCGGGGCTGGTTGGCGGATGAGAAGTTCTGGGAAGAGTATCAGAATCGGGGTTCTGATGCGGAGGGAGTGAGGATGTCCGAGGAGGCGTTTCAGATTGCACAGCTGCCTGTTGGAACGAAGAGGGAGGAAAGGCCCAAGCCGAAGTTGTGAAGTTGGCTACCAGATGATACTGTCCTTAGCATTCTGGAAAGACGGTAATTATCTACCTGGGATATCGTGCTAGTACTCATATCCTCACACATAAGGAGCTTTAGAACCCAAATATACCAAAGTAACCAGTACTTTTCGATAGCCATTGTAGCTAGGATACTGGCCACTTTACATTTAAGTGGAATTCGAGGGAGAGGACTACATTCATTCACGCAAAAAAGTTACTTTGGAAGAGCATCGTATATCGAAGTAAGCATTTAACAGCTAGCAGCTATATCCGCATATGACCTATGGACATGGGAAATGCATCCCCTATTTAGCACATCGAGCGAGCTCTGACCAGCCTAAAGATAAAAGGTTACTACATGAAGATAAAAGGTTACTACATGCATCGTGAAAACACCTTGCCTGGTGCAAATAGGGCAGAAGTTCCTACTATAGCGGGTATAACACAGTAAGCAGAAACAGTTGAGTCCAAGCAGCAGAGCAGAAAGCAGAAGCGGCGATGACATGATCTGTTACATTGAATCCTTACAAAAGGCCCGGCCATGGACTTACACTAGCAACTGCCGAAATAGCACTAGCAAACTAACGTGGAAATTTATAAAGAATAGAAAAGCACACATTAGAAGAACGTCAAGTGCTCCCGAACAGAGGAAACTCTATGTACTACACTGATACGCAAGTTTTTCACTAATCGATGGATGTCGTTGGCAAATCTCATAGCCGTCTGGTGATACCCGGTATGTTCCAACATATGGCCAGTCCACATTGTCACTGCATTTCATCCCTCTTTATAACTTTCAGAGTTGCTCTCCATAAGATGCATATCCTTATGGACTTGAGTAATTGAGGCATAGTAAGTATCTTTTTGCTAGCCCATGGAATTATCCCACAAGCTGTATGGCAAATACTGTACACGTGGCACAGTGCCAATGCATCCAATAGCAGTACTAGTAGTATTCATGCCCGTCAAACGGGCCCTCCGATGGCCGTCACGGGGCAATCAAACCCTGTGAAGCTAACGTCCCATCTAACCTATATATAGCAAGTCCCGCCAACCATGCCGCATAAAAACGGAAGAAACAGAATAAGGCTGAAGGAATATTGTCCCGCAGACACTGCATACTCTGGCGGCTCAATGGTTCTCCAGGCTTAGGCCAACGTCTTACCTTCCGATCCCTGCGGAGGCCTCCACTGAACTAGAACGAGCCGAGATAAAGTTGTGGGACCACTCATTTCGCCCCAACGGTGCTTAGTCGCGGGGATAAGACGGAGACAATGCCTAGGCAAAGTAAAATGGCCAGCTGGTAAGCACTAGCTAGCTGGTTAAACGAGCGCGCGAATAGTGCAACGCCAATCCATTGTATTATTTGGTATCCAGAATGCTGCGTGGGAAGTGGAGACGGTCCATGGTGAGAGGAATACAGTTTTCTCAAGGTATATAGACAGACCATCTCCTCTATCTTGATCCTCCAGCCCCAGTAAACAGATCTGACGCAAAATCATGGCGAGCGCTCAGCTTGCTAACCTGGAGGCCTTCCTCCTGGGTCATCCAAGTATTAAATACACAGCACCCTCGTCACCTGAGTTCTCCACCGTGTGCAAAGTATGGAATCTGGCCCGTCCAGACATCCCGCTTGCTGTCGTCCATCCCCAAAATGCAGAGGATGTGAGGGTTTTAGTACAATTTGCCAAGTCTAACGGACTCAAATTCACCATCCGCGTAGGGGGTCATAACATGGAAGGCCGGGCCCTCGTGGATGACGCCCTTGTTATCGATCTTCGGGCGCTTACGGGGGTCAAGGTAGCCGAAGATCGCCAATCGGCTACAGTGGAGGGAGGAATCCTTCAGGGAGAGCTCGGAACAAAACTATGGGCCGAAGGACTCGCCACGCCCACTGGGTCAATACCGTGCGTTGGCTATGTCGGATGGGCGACGTATGGAGGATATGGACCTTCTCATCACACTGGGGGTTGGGGGCCGATCAGATCCTTGGTGCGACGATCGTGAATCATAATGGAGAGCTTATTCATGCGGACGAGAAGCTCCTAAGGGGCATTCGTGGGGTGGGAGGTGTGTTTGGTGTCATTGTTGATTTGACTATCAAGGTGTATCCGCTTCAAAGTGTAGGTGGTTATAGTTATCACTCTTGTGAAACGACAGGTGCTGAACCTCATATAGCTTCTAGCCGGTGCCATCCTGTTTGATTCCCAGGATATCACCAAGGTCTTTGCGGATTTTAGCACCGGATACCAAAAGCTATTAGAAAATGGCATGCCCGAGCAGCTAACCATCCAACAAGCAGTATTCAACGCGCCTCCTGGACGCGTTTTCGCTGTCATTGTCGCCTGGAGTGGCGATGACATCGAAGAGGGCAAGCACTGGACTAACCAGATCGCAGCCTTGGGACCACTTCTCATGAACACAGTCGTGGAGACTACAATCCCCGAGTGGTTCACCGGAAACGCAGCTTTAGTCCCGTCAAGTGTATACGGATCCAGTCGCACACTCAATCTGCATAACGTCACGCCCGAAGTCACCGAGGCAATTGGACGCAATCTGACCACACTACCATCTGATCCAGGCACCATGATGTCCGTACATCAGCTGAGGGGCCCCTCAGCGGCGCCGAAAGGCAGCTCTGTCTTTGCTACCAGAGAGCCGCACTATATGCTCGAGATCCTTGGGTTTGCAACGGTGGAGAACCGTAAAGAGGAGGCTGAGAAATGGGCATCTGACATTGCGGAGGCGATCTCGGAGACAGACGCTGGAAATATTCTTCCCACTACGTATATCTCTCTGTATTCTGGTAGTGAGCGTGGAGTTGACCCACTGGGTCAGTTCTATGGCTCTCATACGGAGGAGATTCTTTCGTTGAAAAAGGAATATGATCCTGAGGACTTGTTTCACTGGATTGTGCCTCAGTTGCAATAGCATTCCAGATGAGGAGATGCGCAGGGGGAATGGATGATGTGTTTTGAAAGATGATGGTAGTTGTTCCTTGAGAGTAATACACATACACAATGTTCGTAGTAGACTTAGTAGTCTGTTAAGGGCAAATACAAAGCGTCTACTGCCATAGAAAGTACAAGAGGGGTCGGCAAACATATTCTTGTTGTGAAGTACCTCCTGTAGGCTGTGGTTCTTTGTTGTTACAATTTTAAGACGTCAAAATGGGCCATCAGTGACGGCGATCGGTGTAGGTATTACGTTGAATGCACTTGACCTGTATGCTTTGGGTCTTGGTTCCTTTGAAACTATTGCTAGTTGACGAGTACTCACTGCAAGCCCTTGGGTGCCTCACTAAGCGGCGGCGCCCGAACGAAGAAAGCCACAGTCGTTCCGCTAAAAGGGACAGACGCATATGTTCATATTCATAGCTCATAGTCCTCGTTAACGTTTCTCTACAGAATGGTATATAACAAAGATTTATTCTCCGTGGCAGACCCATCTTAGATTTGATATTCATCAAGACCCATGCCCTTCCCGATTTTTCGTATAAGAGCTCGCTTTAAGAAGGCCTCTCGCGCTAACCCGCGTGTGTGCCGGGACCATGTTTCCACCCCGATCATACCTTTGACGTGGGCAGTTTGTAGGGCGTAAATGGCCTGCTGAATGCCGCGTTCCTCTGCCACCAAGTCGTACAGTTGCTTACCCACGACTGTTGGGGCGACGAGGACCTCGTCGATTGGAGGAAGACCGGAGGGTACTGGATCTAAGCTCGACTGTGCGGCAGATGACGATATGCGACCTTGTGCATCAGCTATGACAGCATCGGCGCGGTGAAGGGACTGCTGCAGGGTGGAGGTGTTCGACTGGAGGCTTGAATTAAGGGTGTTTAATGAGGAGATCTCGCCTTGCAAGGTGGCAATCGCTGCGTGCAAAGAGTCCGACTGTGACTGTAGAGATCGCGCTGCAGACTCGGTTTGCGACACATTTGTCTGCAACGTCTCGGCCAATGCCTTGGACACAGCGTGTAACAGCGCATCCTTTTCTGGATTTGGGGGAATTGGCGGTGCAGGTCCGGAGGTGACTGATGGAAGCTCAACCTCAAAAGGTGAAGTAAGAAGATCAGGAGTTTCGGCCCTGGGTTTCACCGCTAGTTGGGTCTCTGAAGATGGTCGCTGAAAACTGTGATGAGAGGCCTGCTGAGGTGCTTGCAGTGGTGTCATCTGCTGGTATCCGCTATTTGCTGGGTGATGTGTTGGGCGATGGGGAGAAACTTGTTGAGGGAGGCCATGGGGGGGCTGTTGCTGCGATATTGCGCCAGGCGGTGCTCGGCTATCAGCTTGGGAAGGTAGGGGGCCTTGTGTATAGGCTGGCATTGGATGTGCCGTGGGGTGCTGCTGCTGAGGATAACGATGCGGAGTCGTCGGGCTTCCCATGCCACTTGGTTCTAGTGGGTACTGCGATAGGCGATCCGTTGGGATGCTAGTCCTTGCATGGGTTCGAGGCGGCCATCGTGGATCCTGTTCCTTCGGTGGTAGTGGAGGAAGAGGCGATGGGGAGTTGGGCTGCGCTGCAAGCATCGGTTGTCGTTGCTCAGCAGAGACCGCTTGTCCAGGTTTGGGAGGTGGGGGAGGTGGCACCGCCGGCACTGGCGAAGGCACATTCTGGTGCAATGGTGAGTGAGACGCGGATAATCCGAGTTCTGCTGGGAGTGGAGGTAGAGGAGGCGGCGTTTGCGTTGGCTCAGGTTGTTGTGGGCGTGGTGGTACTTGTTGCTGTTTGTATCGGACCGGTGGCTCCTTTGCAAAGACCTCACGAAGTATAGAGACAAGGTCTACAAGGGTTGATCTCTAACCAAATTACACCATCAGTAAATTGACCCGCTAGTCTTGCGGAACCAACGAACCTCCCAAGCCTCTGCCCAGTGTGCTAGATAATGATGATACACTCTTCCTTCCAATGTCACATGTTGGCCAACTCGAACAGCCATATCCTGAGTCGGAGTCACGTAGACAATTGGTGGCTCTCGGGGGTAGGTATTGGGGACCCATAGCGATATAGGAAACTTGTAGACCGTGCCGCGAAACGTAACAGGTACCGTGCCAGTGAGTTGCAGTAGAAGGGCCGAGAAACCATTTTCATACGCTAAGCACGATTAATAACCGACCATCAATGCCAGGTAACCAGGGACATCACGGACTGTAGACTTCGGTTCGTGGGGACAGGGAGGGATACTGAGCAAGCACGGAGGCCACATCATAGTAGGTGCGATTGGGGTCCTGATACGTCTGTCGGGGATCGTAATGATCCTGCGCTCGTCAGTAACTTGCATTGGAGCATGCGAAGGAATGGGGCTGTGTATACCCGGATCAATACACTGTATAGCCAGTTGAGTGTCCTCTGCGGCACAGCAGCCATGTCGAAGGAGCTGATAGACGAAGTGCGTGCATGGCGTGCTATCAAGTGTGTCATTAAGTGGGAAGGGAAACTCCGCAGGTCTCATTCCCCGCATGTTCTTGGCACACCGGGCAGAATGAACCCCCGTGACATTCACTATCATTCGATAAATTATTTAGAGTTAACTATTAGGGCTGCCATGTATTTACGAATATCAAAGAAACAGCAAGATAACGTATTACATTTCTTCAGCTATGCTAGTATTTTTTTTTTTTTAAAAAAAAAAAATGAAATGGAGCGCTGAAGCGAGAATAGAATTAATACAAAACAAAAATCTGTAGACCCCTTTCCATATTACCATATTACAGAGCAAGTCTTAGTAGCACCTTCATCCAATCGACTCTAAAGTCTGTGGCAACTCTGAACCGACACATCGTGTTCCACTGAGATTCCATGCCCCTGTTCAGGGTCATGCTGTCTTCTGATGGAGCTCTGATCCGCATAGCAGACCGTCCTCGACTTGTTACTTGGATAGGTCATGGCGACAGTAGTATCCGTGGAAGATGTCTGGTTGCTCCTCGTGCCGTCTGAGTCATTGAGGCGATTCCACAAGGCACCACGAGACGGGGAATCCTCGGTGGAGGATGAGCGGGTAAGGGAAACACCAGCCCAGATGGAGGATAGCGGAAGAGAGATAGTGACCAGGGTCATAATGTTCGAATTAAGTTCGGGGACTGTGATCGCATACTGAAGAATCGAAAGCAGCGCTATATCAGTTAGCTTACACACGCGGATCGTCCCGATATAGATGCAAAGGACATACCTGGAATGGTCAAGGTTTGGCAACCCATGACAAATATCACCTTCATCGGCCCGAAGTCCCTAACACCGAGTCTCCTTCGCTGACGGATGGCAAATCCGAGCTTAATAATGAAGATACTACAGAAGAAGCAGATACTAATAGTGATGAGGATATTGGTAGCGCTTTCCAGCCACACAAGTGACAGGGGGTTATCAGCTTCGACAATTGTCTTGCAGTTTTCAACCATGTATCCTAGGCGAAATCCAACAGGAATAAGGGCAACCAAGATCGACACGCAGAGGAGAATGGTTCGGTACCGGCGTCGAAGATTGGCACAGACGACTTGGACCTGGAGTACAAGCGATGTCTCAATGCAGATCAAGAGAAGAGTTGTAAAAATGACCCCCAGGATAGAGTTGGCGTACGCGGAAGTGGGTGCCCTAGAATGATCACCAGCAAAATACTGGTAGGCTTTCACGAAATCGGTTGTGAAGTAGATCATATGGCAGAGGAGCCGGCCCATATTGAGCAGCAAAGCACCGCTGTTGAGGAAAAAGACCGAAGAGCCACGCTTGTCGGGTCTAGTCAAAAGCAGAAGGATGATGAAAATGATCACAGAAGCACCAAACTGAGCCCCGTAGTTGATGCATATCTGGATACAGTACTGATAGAACTCATCCAACATCATCACAGGTACTTGAAACGGGGTTCCATCAGCCGCATGGAAGGTGAGGTTCTGGGAGTATGGATCGAACTTGGAGTCCATGATGATCACCACTGAGAGAGGCTCGCAAGAGACGAATGATGTATAGATCAGTCGTGACCGGACGAGGACGGTAGGCAAAGAAGGATATCGTGGGGGACGTTGTGAAGAGTGTCATATATGAGGAAGTGAGGAACAAGGAGTCGAATGTGCTTGAAACTGTTTTCAAACAACACGTCCAGCTCCTGGATAGGGACTTGAACATGATGGGAGCGACTGTATTGTTTCACCACGTTGGTAGTATTGGCCGCTAGGACAGACCGGATGTTGCACCGTACATGCAACACGTGAAACAGACAATATCTATACGGCTGAACAGAGACAGGGAGTACAATACTACCTGTTCGGCGTGGCGGAGCTTGTTCTAGACAATGGGTCAGTCATGACGTTGTGGACATTTCGGACTAGGCAGTAGCCGAAGCCAACGTCGGCGCCGTTAAGACAGACAATACTAAGAGCACAATATCAAGACGGGAACTAGCAGTTAAAGATTGGATTGTGGCCCACAACGCGGTTCCGGATCCATGGAAGCTTTTTAAGTTCCCGAATATCCTTTCTACTACTTAGCAAGCATCCTGGACAATAATCGCCGTCGATCGTTCCGGTGGTGGAATGCGATTGGGTTCCTAGCTGTCCAGCTTCAGGGTTGAATGACATTTTCACAGCCCTTGCAGGGTGCCAGAAATGAGGCAGCAGGTGACTCTGCAGCAGGATTGTCAGCAAATTAAACTATTGGAGAAGACCAATGTGGCTTTATTTTCAATGGACTAGCCCCTTATGGCCTGAGAGACAAAAGTGTAGTCATTTTGGGAAGGGGGTTAGCAGGCCAGGATGCACCACCTGAGGTATTCCTGAGTAACACAAACAATATGCTTGCGGAGGCTGGTCGATATTTGTTATTTTTGGAACCAAGCAGTGTCAAAGATTATTCACATGTCTCATGGCCTCAGCTCCGTGGCTGAGAACCCTGAAGAGATGCCACTCAAGGGTCTAGTTGTAGTATGATGCATTGTTGTAAACTGAGCTGGGAGTAGAGAAATATGTACCCGGTGCGATGCGAGAAATACGATGTTCACCTTGGCAAACATCAAGTCCGGGATGGCCCGTGAACAGTTTTGGTAGCATTACTGCCAGGGTAGGTAACTCGGACTGAGAGTGCCAGGGACGCGTTGATACTGATAAGCAGCGTCCGGGTACGAAGGCCCGTGGTAGTAGTAGATAGCAGCAAATCGATATGATTTCCTAGCTTCGTGAGATCAAAACAGCAAGGGGTTTCTAAGGATGCATTAAAAATATATGTCTGAAGACCAGTTCTATTTGTTTAAGCTACATTCAAATTGACATGTCGTTTCAGGCTTCTTTCATTTCAGCTTTCATGGCCCAATTTAGCCAACGACTCCGTTAGAAATTCGTTAGCATTCATTAGGTCTGTGCTGCCATAGACAACCCTCCGCCTGGGAGTGCCTTGAGACGCCGTTCCCCGGCCGGCCCCTGCACCGTCACCGCTGGGCTGTCCGCTGGTCTGATGGACCCAGTCCTGCAGGTTTCCGTATTCGTCCATGCTGCCTCCTCCGACCGTGAAAACAATTGCTTCGTTGAAGGCTTGGCGGCGCTGACCAAAGCTGGCACCGGTTCCTGGGCCGGGGGCGCCAGAAGTGGCGGGCGACTGGGCATTACGCGAAGCGGAAGCGGGGGGCATGGCGCCACGGGCATTAGCGCTGCGAGGGTCGAAATAGAGGTAGCTTTCTGTTTTGGCAATGGCGGAGCTGGAGGCAGACGCTGGGTCCATGAGTGACTCGGTGATCTTGGTCAAGGTCAAGTCTTTGTTCGCTGGGAGGAAATTTTTCACACCAGAAATCAGGGAGTCGAAGTTGGCGCCAAGCGCACCAGATGCGATACGGTCTGTCAGGCGATTGGAGAGTGACGAGAAGCCACGGAACAGATCAGAGGATTGTTGCTGTGGAGCAGCTGTGGTCATCATGGTCATGCGAGTCACTTCGCGAACTTGTTTGACGTAGGCGATGGGACTGACGTCCTGGACGCCTACGCGGGTGAGGGCTTCCTCAAACTGACTCATGTCCGCACGGTTTAATTCGGTCTCGGTGCTTAAGAACCAGATCAGGAAGAGCCGAAGCTTATCCGTCGGCTCGCTCCCCTTTGCCGGGTCATTGATGAGTTCCAGGATCTGCGTCTTAGATTGCTTCGTGATGTTTTCTTCGAGCTCAAAGAAGTTGTCGAGCTGGCGGTCTTTGATGCCTTGAAGCAGCGCAGTTGCAATGTTCATATGCATGTCTAAAATGGATTTGCGTTCCCGCAACTCCGGAAGTAGGGTAATAGCGGCTTTCAGATGCTGTGCAGAGGTGCTTGTGTCATTTTGAAGATCCTCGATAGATGACGCGCCGGTCTTTTTTGTGATCTCATTCGCATCCTCCTTGTACTTGGTTAGCTCGGCGTCGATGTCCTCGGCCACTTGGGGAAACGGAGCTCCGGCATTACGCTTCCAAAAGAAGTCGTTGCTGTTCAGGTCGTACGCTTTCTTGGTCACCTTGCCCGGGTTTGCCTCATCGGCCGTCTCGATTGTAATCCGGTTGAGGCGCATCTGGAGCACATCTTGCACCAACGACTGGTATGTCCACGAGTGAGAAAGCATGGGTACCAAGTCCACATTACGGTCGACAATGACCAGCACAGGTCTTGAGGAGGGGACACCGGGAGTAGATTTCTTGTTAGTTGAGAAGAGATTATCCTTCGAATTGAGAATATGATCGCGGAGTTTACGGTCGAGTTTTGTCGCTATCAGCTCTGCCGCTCCACCTTTAGGGCATCGGATGATGGGGATCGACCCTGTTTGTGTCATGATCAGTGACTAATAAACAAAACACATGGCCTGACCACACATACCCATAGTAACGCTAACACTGAAAAGGCCGCTGACAATCTTATCGATGATTGCGTCTAAGTCCTCATCACTTGTCTGTGCACTATTGATCTTCCAGTAGGCATCATGTCCTAGGCCCAAGCTAAAAAGGTCTGGTTCGGCGACGATGAAGTTGAGATATTGGTCATAGACTTGCGCGATATGCTCTGACGTCCCTGTTGTCGCTATCTGAGAGGCGAAATCTTCGAGCAGTGGCCGAGGCACGGACGATAGGAAGTTCACGTAGGCTGGTGTATAGAGTCCGCGAGCCAAGTCATTGGTAATCATTTGCAAGTTGGCCGGAGTAGGTTCGACGAGATAGACTACGGGCACGTCGGGGATAGGGTATCGATTGGAATTAATGTTTCTTCAAGTAAACTGTTAGTCGCACATGAATCACCAACATGGCAGAAGCGCGTACAGATGAATAGTAACGCCCCAAGTCCGAAGATCATTGACTCGGAGTACGCTACTAATAACGTCCCGTCCCATACTATCGAAAACCAGAACTTTCCAGATTGGGTCGCCATCCTCGTTCAAAATGGGGGTCGAGATGAGGCCTTGCGCGGAGGTATCATGATGGCTGTCCTCGGTCTGCGGGTCGTGATTTAGATTGAGGATTTTCTGAATGGAAACTGTACAGTTGCCATTATCAGCATACGCTCACCACCCAGAGATGTGTACATGAAGAAACCAAATACCTACCGACCTGACGGTCGCGAAGGGACATTGAGTGCGACGCCATAGTAAAGTATAGTCTGCACCCAGGATGATATTCACAGCAATTACCTGACTTAAACGAGATTCATGACAGATAAAGAACCTGACAGCATCCAAGCAGGCAGAACAATATCAACAGATCAGCCCAGGCCCGAGCTGTTGAGGGACAATTCAGTTATTATTACCCACTCGCAACCACCGACCCAGTACACCCTCTCACCCTCCACTTGGCATCCCGAGAGAAGCTCCCGATTGATGAAGGCTGACGTAATCCGACTAGTCCCAATGAGGTTAAATTAGTCCCTTTCAAGGTTATAAGGTCCCCCCTTTCAACAAAGGAGACGTATACAAACAACCCAAACTCCACGCTCCAGCCTTAGGCTGGTGAATCACGTGTGCCAACGCTAGACTGAACGGGTGTAGCGTGGGTGGCCAAGGCTCCAAAGGCAAAGCCGCCCAACCGAGCTGAGCTTTTCCAAGTCTCACCACCATTACCTATCCATCCCCCCCTTCCCTTCCATCCTTTTCGTAAAGCGAATGACTATGCTGCTTAATTACAGTCCAGAGTACTTCTTTGTATGAGAACCTTTTCTTTTCATCTTTTAAGACATATTTAAGAGAAGAAAAGGTCTACAAGAACAGGTTGTACAGGCTGGATTGTCATCTGCGAAAACAGCGCAGGAAAAGAGTGACAAGGCGGCAAGGAAATTGAAAAGCAAAGATAAAGAAGGAATCTGGCAAAAGGAAAGGGGTTCAAAAGGAAAGACAAAACAAAAATTTATCTTACGTCTACTATACGGAGTACTTTGGCCGGTGTATTCGAAGGGTGACCTACTTGGTGCATCAAGAGCGGTTCTTTTTTTCCTAAAAAAAAAAGGGTGCAAGATTGGGCGCGCAACACAACGTGAACGCGACTTGCACGGGATACCGTCACTAAGAAATCACTCAGGCAAGCAGGCAAATAACTGTTCTTTTTTTTCTTCTTTTTTCCGCTTGGCACAGTCAGAAAAAAAAGGGAAAAGGAACAAAAACAAGGACAAGGGCCTTAGAACTTGTCAAATTTCTTTAACATTTGGAAAAGCGGAGGCCAGTTTGCCACTGTCCGGATCATACATCCATTTATTACACACTCATTGCTTGAACTTGCTGCACTGCGAGAAATTCGGTTTTGCCATTTCTTACCGCTTTCCCACTCAGCGAATCAGCATCTTCCGGAGCTGACAAACTCGGACTGGACCAGTGATTCGCCCGGCTTGCATTCATTGATCCAACGTTTATCACCAGACTCTGTCCAATCAGACGGCTTAGACTGGAGACTCCACCAGCAGGCTTCCCGCCAACTGCGATCCAGAAAGACCGTCGCCCC